GGCCGGAGGGTGGGGAGCTCCCGGCCGTGTGTAAGCGACGGGCTGTGCTACTTTGTGACGTGGCCCCGGACCCTGACAGAACCCGGCTGGGAGAGTCCACGGTCCCGAGGAGGGCGGGGATCCCTTCTTTCCCAGCAAGGCCCGGGAGGCCCTGCTCACCTGGGGGGCCCGGGGGCCCCGGGTGGCCACGCTCGCCCATCGGGCCAGTCTCTCCGGTGGGACCCTGTGGGAAGATCAGCATCAGCCACAACTGTCAAGGGACGCCCAAGGGAGCCACCTTCTGTTCCTCAATCTAATGACCGGCCTGGCTGCGGAGGCCGAGGGCCCACGGCACCCACACCCTCGCCCTCACATGGCTTTGCAAGTCTCCCCTTCTGGTCAGAACCCAGGAAGGAGAAGCCCAGAGGCGCCACGCCCTAGTCCTGTTTCCCGGGTGTCGCAGGGAAATAGGGCGGCGGGGGCGGCCACGTCTGCCACGGGAGCGGCTCAGGCCCATGCTCCTGCCGCCCGTGGCTGTGGCGGGTCAGTGTCTCACTTCCTGTCCATTAGGTGTGAACGTCCCAGGACACGGGGTGATGAGGGTGACAGCCCTGCCTCGTGCTCTGAGCTGCCGGGCCCCTCCTCTCAGGGCGGAAAGCATCAGAACCGCGGGCCCAGGCACTGACGGGACCAGGGCCGGGAGCAGGCGGCCGTGGGCGCCACAGCGAGGCCGCGGGCACAGCTGGTCCCGCCCGGTCTGGCCCCAGTTGCCCGTGGGCCTCGGGCAGGGCCTTTGTGCTGCTCGCCTGGCTCATAGTGACCGTCCCAGACCCGCCCCTCCGTCCGCCATCTGGCTGCCTCACGGAGCACATGTCCGATGCTCACCAGCTTCGCCGGACGTTAGCGTGTCAACTAGCAGGACCGACCCCTTCAAGCTTCCTGGGGAGCTGGCACCTGAGCCTGGGTCGCCCTCTCACGTGCGTGCGTGTGTGTGTGTGTGTGTGTGTGTCTATTTGCATGTGCGCAGGTGACACGGGGACGACGCTGCATCTCACCTGAGGGCCGACCACGCCTGGGGGTCCTGGGGGGCCGGTCTTGCCTTGGAAACCCTGTGAAGAGAGTCGCACGCTGAGATGGCCGCAGCGGCCCATACCCCGCCCCCCACCACGCCTGCGCTTTCCCACAGGGGTTTGTCCCCCACCAGGTCCCATCCCCACGTGTCCCCACTTCGCTCGAGGGGACCCGTTCCTCTGGTTCCGCCTTTGCATGGATTCGCGAAGGCAATGGAGCCAGACCCGGCAGTGTCACTGGCTGCTCCCGTCGCTGCGCTTTTGCGCTGAGAAATGGATTTTAAAACCATTCATCTCTCC